TACTATCAACGCAGATCTCAGTCGGTCCACAATTGGTCATAGCTCTCATATAAGGTCCACTTCCGAAAATCACCTAAACGCACATATTTCAATGAATTATAAAGCTATTGGGATAAAATTCGACACAAATATGTTTTTTATACATACAAATCATTTTACAATTTTTTTTACGGATCGGTCCATTATTGGTCATAGCTCCCATATAAGGCCCACTTCCGAAAATCATTTAAAAGCTCATATATCATTGTCAAACAAAGCTATCTGGATAAAATTCGACACAAATATGTTTAGTCTAAATATGAATCACTCTACGAAATTTTTTCCGGATAGGCCAACAATTGGTCATAGCTCCCATATAAGGTCCACTTCCGAAAATCACTTAAACGCATATATTTCAATGAATTATAAAGCTATTGGGATAAAATTCGACACAAATATGTTTTTTATACATACAAATCATTTTACAATTTTTTTTACGGATCGGTCCATTATTGGTCATAGCTCCCATATAAGGCCCACTTCCGAAAATCACTTAAAAACACATATTTCATTGTCAAATAAAGCTATCGTGATAAAATTCGACATAAATAGATTTTGTCTAAATATGAATTACTCTACTAAATTTTTTCCGAATAGGCCTATAATTGGTCATAGCTCTCATATAAGGTCCACTTCCGAAAATCAATTAAACGAATATATTTCATTAAATTCTAAAGCTATAAGGATAAAATTCGACTTGAATATGTAATGTGTACATATAAATAATTCTACCACTTTTTCCAATAATGGACCGATCCGGGTCCATTGTTAAATAAAGTTATCTTGATAAAATTCGACACAAATATGTATTGTCTTTATATGAATCACTCTACGAAATTTTTTCCGGATAGACTCCCATAGAGGGTCCACATACGAAAATCACTTAAACGCATATATTTCTTTGAATAATAAGGCTATCGGGATGAAGTACGACTTGAATATGTTTTGTGAGCATATAAATCATTCTACCAAATTTTTTCCGGATTGATCCATATATTGTAGTAGCTCCTATATAAGGTCCACTTCAAAAAAATCACTTAAACGCACATATTTCATTATCAAATAAAGGTATCTTGATAAAATTCGACACAAATATGTTTTGTGTAAGGTCATAGCTCCTATACATATAAAGTCCACTTCCGAAAATCACCTAAACGCAAATATTTCATTAATTAATAAATCTATTGTAGTAATCATTATACTAAATCATTATACTAAATTTTTTCTTTATCGGTTGATAATTGGTCACAACTCCCATATAAGGTCCATTTCCGAAAATTACTCAAATGCACTTGATAATCAAAGTTATCGGGATAAAATTCGACATAAATGTTTATTTTGTATACATAAATCATTCTACGGATTTTTTTCTTCCGGATCGGTCCATAGGTTGTCTTAGCTCCCATATAAGGTATACTTCTGAAAATCACTTAATATCACTTAATTCGTAATTAAATGATTATATCCAGATAAAATTCAAAATGAGTATGTTCTGTGTACAGATATATCATTATATTAAAATGTTTTCAAACTGGCCTATTAATATACATACATATTTCTCGACATAATTAAAATTAGTTTGACATATGCATAAATGTTAGTACCCTCAATAAGGAAACAAAAATTTCGCCAAGTTATCTAAAAATTAGATAGTTAAATGGGTCTCAATGAAAAGTAGCTTGCTGGTGGAGGGTATTTAAGATTCGGCAGAGCCGAATATAGCACTCTAACTTGTTAATAAATCATTTAATTATTGCTCTATACTAATTTTGATCAAGTCCATAAGAAATTCATGAACCATTTATGGGAGATATGAACAATTATTGGCCAATCCAAACAAAATTTCTTTCTTCTAAAATATACTCATGCCAATTTTTATTGCGATATCTTTTTTTTCAATGAAATTTGGACGTTTAATTAATTTTTGAAAGTGGACCTTATATGGCAGACAAGTCCAATTATGGACTTACCGAGAAACAAATTTCGGAGTGATTTGTGTATACAAAAATTTATTTATACGGGATTTTATTTCGATATCTTTATATATATTAATGAAAAATGCGATTTTTGGTTGTGGATCTCATATTACTGATATGACCTATTATGGACCGATCCGGAAATCATGTACATATGTATACTCATATTATCATAAAAGATGGGGGATATATTGTTTTTGTCATCCCGTTTGTAACACATCGAAATATTGGTCATAGACCCACACATTCTGGGTCCTTATTAAATTCTAAGACTAGTTAGCCATGTCCGTCCGTCTGTCTGTTGATAGCACGATAGAGTGCGAACGAGAAGAGCTAAGGAGCAAAAATATTTATTGATGCAGTTTGTTTGCTATTGAAAATGGGCCATATCGGTCCATATTTTCGCATAGGCCCCATACAAGTTGCCCCCCGAAAAACAGTGTTATACTTATAGCTGGTTTGAAAACAACACTGTGTCAATGAAATTCCACATAAACAAGTTTTATATGTACCAAAATCTATCAACCAAATTTTATGAGAATCAGTCCATAACTGACTCTACCCCACATATAGCCCCTCCCCCCCCCCCCTCAGAAAACGACTTTAACTCTCATAACATGCTTCAAAATGATAGCAATGCAACGAAATTCGATATAAAGAATATTTAGGGGAACTAAAATCTCTCTGCCAAATTTTATGGAGATCGGCCCATAATTGACCCTACCCCCCATATAAGGCAACCCTCAGAAAACGACTTTAACGCTTACAACTTGAATTACTTTAAACTGAGAATTACTTTAAATTATTAAATTGTGGTAGCACAAACATCGGTATAGGTCCACTTTTCGAAATTCACCTCAAATTTAAGACACATGATTTGATGATGGGTATATAAGATTCGGCACAGCCGAATATAGCACTCTTACTAGTTTATACATATGTTGATGTGGAACTAATATTTCAATGTCCTACAAACATAAGCACAAACGTATTATACCCAGATTCATGCTGAAATTCTTATATTCGTACTATTTAAATAAATTTTACCACAAATGTGTATAAATACCAGTTAGTTTTATAGAACCACAAAATGACTAATGATTTTCTATATACGGCCGCCATGACCGGTGATTAGTGAGTGGTCTTTCTTAAAGAAAGAAATTTCCTATCATTGGATTTGTAAACCTGTTATGGGTTATATAATAATTTTCTGAAGGTGGGACCTTATATGAGGGATAAGGTCAATTAGGTTCCAATGCTCGCTATATATTACAATATCATTTCCGGGTACATAATAATAATTTAAGTAAAATTTTATCACGATTGAAGCCTAATTAACTTATTTAAGACTTTTTAAACTTTATAAGTATTCCAGGGGGTGAACCGATATGGCTAATTTTCAATATCAACAAGTGAGAGTGTTATATTCGGAACGCAAGGGTCGAATTTCATCGCTTTACTCGTACTTTTAAGACTGTAATGATCGTTTAAGTAATTTTTTGAAGGGGACCTTATATGAGGGGTTAAGGTCAATTATGGACCGATCAACATAAAGTTTGATAGAGAGATTTTGGCTCCATTGAAACTTATGTGGGTAGAATTTCATCACTATACTCGTATTTTTAAGCCAGTAATGAGCGTTAAAGTCATTTTCTGAAGGGACCTTATATGGGGGTAGGGTCTATTATGGACCGATAAACATAAAATTTGTTAGAGAGATTTTGGATCATTGCTATATTACATATTATTTTTAAGCCAGCAATGAGCGTTAAACTCATTTTTAGAAGGGAACTTTATATGGGGAAAGGGTTACCTATAGACCGATCAACATAAAACTTGATAGAGAGATTTTTTGCTCCATCGAAACTTATGTGTGTAGAATTTCATCACTATACTAGTATTTTTAAGCCAGTAATGAGCGTTAAAATTATTTTCTGAAGGGGACCTTATATGGGGGTATGGACCGATCCTCATAAAATTTGGTAGAAAGATTTTGAATTATATGCAACATATTTATGTCGAATTTCATCTCTATAGTCGTACTTTTAAAACAGATATACCCGTTAAAGCTGTTTTTCAGGAATCCACTTGTATGGGGGCTATCCGAAAACGTGGACCGATATTACCCATTTTCAATACCAAACAAACCTTATTTATAGAGAATATTTGTTGAAAATATCAGTCCTCTATCTCGTTGCGTTTAATAAGGACCCAGAATGTATATAATTTTGTGGATATAAAAAACTTATAAAAATCTAGAATAATATTAGAAAGTTCATCACTCTAGCTTTTCCCGTGTGGATGCTATCATTCTTTCAACAGACAGAATGACGGACAACGCACTTTGTGCTATTCCGAATTGCAGGGTTTTTCTAACCATAATGGATTATTAATAAGTTTCAGCATACAATTATTATTAGAAATGTATGATCTTGTGCAAATGTATAAAACCCAAGTAGCATGTAATATAATTGAAAGTATTTCGATATATTTTGTATCGGTTTGTTGTTCTTTCTTTCCAATTTGTGAAAAAAATATGAAATTATATCTATTTGTTGTTGTAGCCTTATACATTGTTGCCGGTGTAATGGGGGCTCCAGTAAGTATTTAATATTGTTTATTCATATACATACATCTCATTTATATTATATTTTCAGAAGCGATGCTTAGTAAACTCCGGTTATATTACCTGGATTGATTAAACCCTAAATAATGTTTAAATTTTCCAGAATTTTTAAAACTCAAACTAACTATTTTTGTAAATATGTATGTTAAAGGAAATGAATAAAAGTGCAATAAAAATAAATCCAAATTAGTTTTGTTAACTGTCACTCCGAACTGCAGGGTTAGGTAATCAAGTCGTTTGACTAATATGTATGTAAATGTCTGCTTTGCAAATATTATTAGAAATGCGTGTCTACTCCTATACAAATATTCTTGTATAAGAGTATAAAATACAAGCAGAATGTAAAATATTTTTAAGTATTCTAATATATATGCCGGGGTCTGTTAAGTTTTTCGATCGTCAATATTAATATGAAACTGTTTCTATTTGTACTTGTAGCTGGTTACATTGCTGCCGGTGTAATGGCTGATCCAGAAGTAAGTTTTAGATTAACTTATAATTAAATCTATGTTTAATAAATACATATTTTCAGGAACCCTGCTTCGTAAACTCTGGTTATGCTACTTTAAGAAAAAAAGACTTTCATTAATTTAGTGAATTGATTTAATGAAGCCGAAATATTCTTCAGATATGCAACCTCCTCATAATGATTTTAACTGAATGAAAACAAATCAAAATAAAAAATTTTAATAAATAAAATAAAGTTTATCAAACAACTTCGATTCTATAATGTATATACATATATTTTGGATCCTTATAGAAAACGGTATCGATTAAGCTATGTTAGTCTGTCTGTATGATGGATGAAATCAATTTTGTAAAGACCCAGATATCTGCGGGATAACAATGTTCAAAAATTCTACCAGAATTGCTTTCAAGATGTTTAAGTTTTTTCCTCAATCTAGATTAGTTTTTCAAAAACTATCGTAGCTAATTCAATAAATTTTTCCATAGACCTCCATACAAGTGTAGACATTCCCGGAAAGTGCATTAATTGTAAGTAACTCCCTCTGAAAAATCGATATGAACACAAAATTTCGCCTGTATAAATATAATATCAAGAGAAATCGTAATACCAACTGAAACTTGGATCGGTCCATTATTGACCAAAGTTATAGTTCTATGTAATAGTCGTTAGGCAAAGCCAATTTAGGTTTTCGAAATTTATTAAATGTAAATGGCTATAAATATTCACATTTTTATAAAAAATCTAGTATATAAGAGAAGGGTATTAAGATTCGGAAAACCGAATATAGCATACGAACTTATTTTAAATATATGTAGCTGTTCAGTTTAGATATACTATGTAAAGTTAGCTTATGGCTGCGATAGTGTAAGTGAAAAATTCGGGATGTATGTATCTGAATTCTTTTGTTAATATACGTATTTTTCGAAAAGGTTGTTCCACTGTTCTTCTTGATTGTGACCAGTATGTTAAGGTGACTCAGAAGGAAATTAATAGAAATATACTTGTTATGAAAAACCATTCGCAATAAATTGTGGATTTCTAGATTTATAAAATTATCGCATATTTGTGGTAAAATGTGGAAAGATCATATATGTATAATAAACCAGTCAAAGCTGAATATTGTATTAATAGACCCACAGAGCCTAAGACCTCCAACTAGAAGGAACACTATCAGCTAACCTAACGGGGTACCCAGAAAGAAAGTTTTTGATAGGACTTTGCGAACCTATTAACGCTGAGATTTATTAATCTATATATGCCAGCGATCAAAGCACACTATTTTAAACAATTTTGCTACGCTGAATACATAGCATAGGGGTCGTAAGTGAATAAAAATATTAGGAAAGGATTTTTCTGGTACCTTTTATTTTTTATGTAATATTGAACCTAGAAACATATAATATCCTATCTTTATGGAATGAAAATCTATAAGAGTGTATTTTTACTAGTACTTTTGCGTTCTTCATTTGGTACGTTTTTAATATTAAACCTAGAAACATGGAATTAAATGAATGAAAATGTATAAAAAAGGGACTATCTAGTACTTTTTATACCCACCATCAAAAAATATGGGGTATATTGATTTTGTGATTCCGTTTGTAACACATCGAAATATTGGTCATAGACCCACAAAAGTATATATATTCTGGGTCCTTATTAAATTCTAAGACGATCTAGCAATGTCCGTCCGTCTGTCTGTTGAAAGCACGATAGAGTCCGAACGGAATGAGCTAGAGGAAATTTTCAACAAATATTCTCTATAGATAAGGTTTGCTTGATATTGAAAATGGGCAATATTGGTCCACGTTTTCGGAGAGCCCCCATACAAGTGGACGCTCGAAAAACAGCTTTAACGGACATATCTTTTTTAAAAGTAGGAGTATAGCGATGAATTCGACATAAATAAGTTTCATATGAGTCAAAATCTCCCTACCAAATTGTATGAGGATCGGTCCTTAATTGACCCCACCCTCCATATAAGGTCCCCTTCAGAAAATCACTATAACGCTCATTACTGGCTTAAAAATACGAGTATAGCAATGAAATTTGACATAATTAAGTCCCTGCCAAGCCAAAATGTCTCTATCAAATATGTGAATCGGTCCATAATTGACCCTACCTCCCATATAATGTCCACTTCAAAAAATTACTTTAAGGCTCATTACAGACTTAAAAATACACATAAGTTTCATGCGAGTCAAAATCTCTCTGTAAAATTTTATATGGATCGGTCAATAAATAACCCTACCTTCATATAAGGTAGCCTTCAAAAATGAGCGAATATATCGATGAAATTGGACACACATAAGTTTCATGCGAGTACCAAATAAGGTCCCCTTCAAAAAATTACGTTAACGCTCATTACTGGCTTACGAGTATAGCAATGAAATTTGACATAAGTAAGTCTCTTACGAGCAAAATCCTCTCCAGTAAATTTGATGTGGATCGGCCCATAATTGACGCTACCCTCAATATAAGGTCCCTCCAGATCATTACTGGCTTAAAAGTTCGAGTATAGAGATGAAATTTGACATAAGTAAGTTTCTTACGAGCCAAAACCTAAGAAACTTTTATAGGAACGTTTGATGGTGGGTTTATTAGATTCGAATTCGAATATAACACTCTTACTTGTTCGTTTTACAACTGGTACTTTTTAACACACCAAAAATAGAGAGGAACCTGCCACGAAAAACAAGAGTTGCTCTGGCACAACTGAGATCGGGATGGAGCAACAGGCTCAACGCCTACTGGTCCCTCATAAACCGTGCCGCATGTGGACATATATTGGGGACGGCATGATACCCACCATATATTCAACAGTCCAGTCCACCCTACTTTACTTAGCCCAATGGATTTATGGACTAACCTTGTAGAAGTCGCCCAGTTTTGGCTTGGACCTAAATACAGATCCGTCGGACTAAAAGTTTTTTAGTTTAAGCTGTTAAAACAACACAACATGGTGAAGCATATATAAGATTCGTCACAGCCGAATATAGAACTTTTTCTTCTTTTTGTTATAACTTTTTTTTGATATGACGGAGAAATTCTAGTGACAAATTCCGGTTGATCATAGATCGATCGAAAGGTGTGTTACAAAATTACAAGAACTTTTCAAAACTTAAATACCTATAATTACTTCCCTTAGGGTAATGTATTAAATCGGCCCTCTGTTATTTACTATTTACATTATCTCATTCATGTACTTTCGAGTAATTTCAGACTTCTAAGAATATACATATTTATTTAAATTAAAACCACATTTTAACTCATTTCTGATAAAACAGAAATAGTTAAGCAAAAACGCAGACATAAAAACAACTAAAAAGCTATTCTTTCGATATTATTTCAATAAATTTTGTAACGGAAAAACATTTTAAATTTCTATAAAAAAATATGAAATTATTTCAAATAATTTTTTTGGTTGGCTGCATAATTGCTGGTGTAATGGCTACTCCGGGAGATGTAAGTTTTAGTTTTAATGCTAATAGAATTTTTGTAATCGATATTAAATTTGATTTATTTTAGAATATAATGCAGGGTGTCTATAACACCGGTACGATTACACAATATAATGCGGACATCAGGGGTTAAGCAAAATCGAGTAGTGCTAATAGAGGATATATAAAAGTTTATCTAAGTCCCCATAAAGCACAAAATGCTGAGTCGATTAAGCTACAGTAATATGTTAGTTTGTTCGTCCATCTTTTATTGAAATACACTTAATATATTCATTGTTATCCTAACCAGTTTAGTATTTAAAATCGGCCAAATCGGTCGACTTGCCAAAAATTTTGAATACAAATTTTCCAAAAAAAAGAACAATTTCAGCTTTTTGTATTATTTTTTGTGCAAATTTTTATAGAAACTATTGCAAATACTTCTATAGAATTTGTCAAACGTTTGTTTCCCTATAAAAAGTTCGGTTCACAATTTCCTACATCTCCTATACAAAAGTGCATATTCCCTAAAAACAAAACTTTATTGTTAATAATTACCTTTAGAATGTTGGTATATATACAAAATTTTTAAAAAATAGTATTGAAATTTTTTTCCGGATCGGTCCATAATCGTCCATATAAAGTCCTCCTTTTCTCACTGTTAAATAATAATATTGATACAAAATTTTGTTGGTATGTATGTACCTAGGTCCAAAGTGCTTTATAGCCTCCATGTAAGGTGCCTTTCCGAATCTCAATAGAATAGAGTTTTTGTGGTCCTACCATGGTCGAACATTCAGTCTTCGTTGCATATAATGGTCTGTATAACTTAACCTCAAGTTCTCTTTCGTTAATAGCGAATCATTACCGACTATACCAGGTACCACCACATTATGCTGGCCTTACCACTGGAAGCGGGAGCGTGGCGATGTATTCATACCAGAATTTAGGATTAGAATGTCATTCCGAATTGGTGTAATATACTTCAGGCTGAAATCGCAGCCAGAAGATGAGCGGATTATTCGATATTAAATATGAAACGACAATCAAGCTGCAATTGGGAATGGAATGCCGAGCATCCTTAAACAGGTACTAACATAGGTAAGGGGACATAGAGACTCTTCTGGCAACTATATCGTAGGCGCAGGTGACTAAGAAGACTAGAGTATATATCGTTTTCTTTGTTTTCTATATACTTAGATTCCAAGGTCTGTGGGGTTACTTTATAGTTTTGTGGTTAAATTTATTTTTTATTTAAAACTTTTATATCTGAATCACAATGATTTGTTCTCGATGTTTACAAATGTTATGAATAATAATAACGAATATAAAGTTAAAGCTGGTTAAAAAAATGCATAAAAACAACCAGAAAGTTATAAATCCAACAATATTTCTCAATATTTTGAAGCGGTTAGACGATCGTTAAGAAAAACTATGAAGGTATATCAACTATTATTTGTAGTGGTTTGCATTGCTGCCAGTGTACTGGGCGAACCAGTAAATGTAAGTTTTACTTTTTTTCTAATTTCTAAATTATTATTTCACTATAATATTTAAACTTTTAGATTATCAGGGAAGACGTTCATAATACCGGTGTTTTTCAGCAAGGTTGCGAAATTGATATCGGTGGCAAAGTAATTCGTAAAGATTGTGAAAATTCTCCTCCAGGCAATGTAAGTTTACATTATTTTCTTAGTATTCAAATCATTATTGAATTATTCTTTAATCCTTTAGTATAGAAGCCAGAATGTTCATAATACCGGTGTCTTCAAGCAAGGTTAGATTTTATTGTTAGATACTAAATATAAAATGTATTCCTTTATCAGTTTAAAACTTACTATATATGAAATAAAACTGGAACATACTAAACCAAACTTGTTTTTAATCTTGGTCTATTTAAGTGAATTTCGGAAAGTGGATCTAATACAGATATGATATTTTCATAATTTAATGACTTATTATATTTATACTGTAATATTATACTAGCTATACCAAGTGTGCTTTGCTATGTAAAATTTGAAGATTCTTGCTCTAATAGTTTCTCAGATATATGTATTTCTCTAATTAATTCATATGGGGGTTCCAAGCCCGCCAGATGAAGTCCGCACTTTTTTCTCCAAAATGTTCTGATGAAAAATAAAGTTCTTCGTGTCAAATTTGAAGAATTCAGTTCTATTAGTTTCCCAGATAAACGAAGTTTTGTATTTAATTCATATGGGAGGTGACGCACCCCTCATTGAAAGTCCACCAGTTATTCTCTAAATCTTTACATGAGTGTCAAAGTTCTTCATGCTAAATTTGAAGATTCTAGCTCTAATAGTTTCTCATATATAAGAATTTTTCTAATTCATGAATATGGGGGCTCCAAGACCCCCAGATAAAAATCCGTCCTGTTTTCTTAGTTTCCAAGATAAACGAATTTTTCTATTTAATTCATATGGAAGGTGCCACTTCACCTTCAACCGTATAGTAGTCTATATATAGAGATAGATAGACAAATAGATAGATAGATAGATAGATAGATAGATAGATAGATAGATAGATAGATAGATAGATAGATAGATAGATAGATAGATAGATAGATAGATAGATAGATAGATAGATAGATAGATAGATAGATAGATAGATAGATAGATAGATAGAATAGATAGATAGATAGATAGATAGATAGATAGATAGATAGATAGATAGATAGATAGATAGATAGATAGATAGATAGATAGATAGATAGATAGATAGATAGATAGATAGATAGATAGATAGATAGATAGATAGATAGATAGATAGATAGATAGATAGATAGATAGATAGATAGATAGATAGATAGATAGATAGATAGCTAGATAGATAGATAGATAGATAGATAGATAGATAGATAGATAGATAGATAGATAGATAGATAGATAGATAGATAGATAGATAGATAGATAGATAGATAGATAGATAGATAGATAGATAGATAGATAGATAGATAGATAGATAGATAGATAGATAAAGATAGATAGATAGATAGATAGATAGATAGATAGATAGATAGATAGATAGATAGATAGAAGATAGATAGATAGATAGATAGATAGATAGATAGATAGATAGATAGATAGATAGATAGATAGATAGATAGATAGATAGATAGATAGATAGATAGATAGATAGATAGATAGATAGATAGATAGATAGATAGATAGATAGATAGATAGATAGATAGATAGATAGATAGATAGATAGATAGATAGATAGATAGATAGATAGATAGATAGATAGATAGATAGATAGATAGATAGATAGATAGATAGATAGATAGATAGATAGATAGATAGATAGATAGATAGATAGATAGATAGATAGATAGATAGATAGATAGATAGATAGATAGATAGATAGATAGATAGATAGATAGATAGATAGATAGATAGATAGATAGATAGATAGATAGATAGATAGATAGATAGATAGATAGATAGATAGATAGATAGATAGATAGATAGATAGATAGATAGATAGATAGATAGATATATAGATAGTATAGATAGATAGATAGATAGTATAGATAGTATAGATAGTATAGTTAGTATAGATAGTATAGATAGTATAGATAGTATAGATAGTATAGATAGTATAGATAGTATAGATAGATATTAATGTGAATATCTAGTTTATTTTGGAATTAGGATCGGGCTTTACAGAATTTTAAAGTGTAATTAATTTCTTTCTCAATTCTTTACTCCTTAATACTAAAATACGTTCGAATTTCAGCCTTGTAATGATTGTAGGCCGCTACCTTTAAAATCACCAAATAGTCGCCAGTTGGAAATGGAATAACTTTAAACATGTCACTATCTAATACTAGATGTTCTACAATTATATCGTGCTTTAAATAGATTTTAAAATTAATATATAGTATAAGAAATAAAAAAATTCATTAAACTTACGTTATAGGGACAGGTATGATTGATATTCGAAGCAGTTTTAATGATTGAGTATACAATCTTCCAGAAAGGATAATTATTGGGATTTTTCAAAAATTTACAAAAATTAACTGTGTTATTATAAAGAAATAGACGATAATTTTGTGTGGAACCTTTAACAAAATATGCGGCATTAACCTAAAAATTATAAAGAAAATTAGATCATTTAAAAACCATAAAGAATACACTTACCGAAACATTAGGCACTGGTACCTGATGCAGGCGCACATGTAAATTCAGAGCTACTTTATTCCGTGCCAATGCCTTCAAATAACATTTTGGTATATCAGCAAACGGTTTGTCAAATTCAAAACATTCGAATTTAGTAAATTTTACTGTCAGTGAGTGCGTTAATTGTTGAATATTTAAACATATTGCTAACAAAATAATTTCAAATTTTAATTGAATCATAATATGTTTATGCGCAGCAAAAATAAATTTTTAAAAATTACAAATTAATTTGTTGTCTATACTTGTACTACTAAACATTAGGATTATTATTATTTCTAATTTTATATAAGTTATCGATGAGTTAAAAAAACTTTTAAAAATTATTGATATACGTCAGTCACAGTCGTTCGACTGCAAAATACAGAGTGGTCCAATAAGAAGTTTCTTTTTAAACATTAAATTTAATTTCTAGATTTCGACCGAAACCAAAATTTCGTTTGGTACCGAATCTGAGCTTTAGCCAATTTTAAAGTTTCGATGAACCCAAACTTTGTTTAGTTTTTAAGGTTCAGTGACCCCGAGCTTTTTGTTATTAAATGAAAAGTAACATATCTATAGCATTTAAAACCTATTCACCATCAAAACATGAACATCAGAGAGATTTTTTAAAGAGGGTTTTTAATGGGGGGTCTTCAGTCAATTATGGATTTTATGGTTAAGGTCTACAAATTGTGATACTCCTCTTGACCTACTCCAAAGGTATCATTCAAATTGTGATATTCCTCTTGATCTACTACAAAAGTAGAGTTGTCCGAACGGGTGAACATGTCAGAGGGTTCATTTCAAGAACTTTCCGGTCATGCATTGAAACAGATTCCAGCTAAGTTTACATATATGTTTTGAAGTTCGAATGGCGCTTTAAGGTCTATTGTAAAGAGATAGTTCAAGTTGTGAAACTCAAAATTTTCAACTTCATTGTATGCAAACCGAGTTTTCCGCATAAGATATTATTCGAATTCCAGTATATTGCTGTTCGCTTTGATATTCCGATTATATTAATAGACAATTTTCACCATATTTTCAATATATTTATTAATGTTTATAAAAGCTTAATATTCTTAATTCTTTCTATTTTGGTACACATACCTAGCGGACCTCCTGATATATTGATTTTTAATCGCTGGTAGGGAACTGAGGGACGCCCTAATGTATATTAATTAAACTAAGTAAACCATATCTGCTTTAGTTTTTTAAATTGTTTAGCAATTTTGCTATAAGTATTATTAATAGCTACTGATTGATTTTTAATTGTTGTTACATAAGTATTATTAATTAATGGCTTGGGTGAGCTTTATAGATTTTTGTTGTAATAATATACCAGTCATACCGAAATTTTCAGTTTTAATTTCACTAAAACACTTTGATTCTGTATAACACAGCAACCAAAATAAAAATAAAAAACAAGTTAGAGTTCTATATTCGGCTATGCCGAATCTTAAATGCTCTCCACCAGTAAGCTACTTTTTATTAAAACCCATTTGACTATCTGATATATAGATAACATGACAAAGTTTTTGTTTCCGTAGTGAGGGTACTACTAACATTTATGGTTTAATTTATATTAGTAGGCCAGTTCGTAAACATTTCGTAAAAAAATCAAGTCGAATTTCACTCCAGTAGCTTTATTAATTAATCTATATATATAAAAAAGTAGCGTTACTGACTGACTGATTCATCATCGCACAGTCCAAACGGCTGAACCTAGAATCATGAAATTTTGAAAGTAGATGTGTTTTTGGTTATGTAGATCCACTAAGGAGAGATTTTTGGAAATTTGTACATTTAGGGGTAAAAAGGGGAAAAAACGGGTAATAATAATATTATCTTACCTAATAATAGTGATACAAGAAAAAATTTAAACGCACCTGTATGTACTCTTAAAATAAGCAGATGGTACTTTTTTGAAATTCGTACTTTTAAGGGGTGAAATGTGTAAAAAAGGTGATTTTGGTACTTTTTTTGGCCCTTTATAACTTTTTAACTAATAAACAAAATAAATTTTTTGTAAATATTTTGAATATATCTCTCAAAATTATGAGACACCTGTTTCGTACTTTTTTTAAATTCAGCCCTTTTTGGGTGTAAAAGGGAGAAAACTGTATTTTTGGTACTTTTATAGCACATTAAGAAAACTTTTTCGATTTATTGAAGTATTTCTATTAAATTACGGACTAACTCTTTAATATTTATTGAAACAAAATGTTTGCTATTTCACTGGGGAAAACAGTACCAAAAAGGGGAAAAACGGGAAATTTAATTTTATTCAAACTCATTGAGCCATTTTTTATAAAATTTTAAAAATTAGTTTATTTACTCACACAAAATAAGTTATTGGTATATTATTTTGGAATTCGAGTACTAATATATAGGACCATAGGCCTATATAGGACCAAATTCGAGTAAATTGTTTGGTACCTTTTTGAAAGCACAATTTTTCTGGAACAAATGAATACAGATTTGGATAGTTTGAGTTTTATCTGTGATATATAGATTTAAATACGGAACATTTTGTAAACTTAATTCTCAAAAAAGTATATTTCTAAGCGAACCGGGGAAAAATTGTGCTATTTTTATTAGTACTTTCCACTAAGGTAGAATTTATTCCACTTTTGGTACTTTTTCTTCAAGTGTTTTTTTTTTCTTCAAATGTTTTATAATATGAATTCAAAACTCATGATTTTTAAACATACACGATCCTCATTGAATAAGATTCTTTAAGTGAGTACTTTATAGTACTTTTTATCTCTCAAATGGTACTTTTTGAATTTTCTAAAATATTCTACCTAGGAACATAAATTTTAACATACACTTGACTTGACTGAATAATATTCTGTAAGTGGGTACTCTTTGGTACTTTTTCATTCTTCAAATGGTACCCTTTGGTTTCTCTATAATGGTTAACCGGAACACATCCTTATTAAATGAGAATTTATGAGAGAGATTTTTGTACTTTTTCGTTTTTCCGATGGTACTTTTTGATATTTTTACAATATTGAACATAGAAATATAAAATTTAAAATATAGGGTGAATGAGAATCTACTGAAAGGGACTTTTGGTACATTTTCATTCATCAAATTATATTTTTTGAATTGTAAATAATATTGAGCACAGAAACATAAAATTTTTGATAAAATTTTTTTTATAGTACTTTTTTTCAAATAGTAATTTCGAAAATTTCTATAATGTGGAAACTAAACGAATTAAAGTAAAAATAAAAGTTTCTTCGTGAATGCGAATTTATTCACGTGATATTGAACGTAAAAAACTGAAACATTAAAAATTTTTAAATCACTTTAAATTTTCTATAAAAGTAAACAAAATTTTGTATGTATTTAGTGTATGCTAGTGACCTTATATGGGAGCTATAACCAATTACGGGCCTATCCGGAAAAAAGTGATTCATATATAGACAAAACATATTTGTGTTGAATTTGATCAATATAGCTTTATTTGACAATGAAATATGTGCGTTTAAGTGATTTTCGGAAGTGGACCTTATATGGAAGCTGTGACCAATAATGTACCGATCCCTGAAAATATCGGTATAATAATTTATATGTACTCAAAACATATTTAAGTCGAATTTTATCCCGATATCTTTATAATTCAGTGATTTCCGGAAGTGGACCTTATATGGGAGCTAAGGCCAATTACCGGCCTATTCGTAGATTGATTCATATATAGATAAAATATATTTGGTTCGAATTTTATCAAGATAGCTTTATTTGACACTGAAATATGTGCGTTTTCGGAAGTGGACCTTATATGGGAGCTATGACCAATTGTGAAGCGACACAGATCTACGTTGGTAGTATAATTTCATCATATGATCATACATATAATATATTTGCATGTAAAATATGTTGTGTTGATACCGATATATTTGAGGGAGTTATTAACGATAAACTAATTTCCGTGAATGTATACCTTTGTATGAGGGCTATGGGAAATATTGGATCAATTGTTACGATTTTGAACATATGTACTTGATCTCTGGCAGAAAAAATAATGTGTGATAAAATTTATCGAAATATCTTTGGTAGTTTCCGAAAAAACTACTTAAGAATAATTATAAGTACATTATTTTTTTCGAGGTAGTCTGAAATTTTTACTCATAATTTTTTACTTCGGAAACCTTTGCTTAGTTTTATTGTGAGCTTGTTTTACACATACAGACAGACGAATATAGCTAAATCGACTCATAAAATGATTCTAAGCCGATTGGTATACTTTAAGGTGGGTATAGGACCAATATTATTGTGCGTTACAAATATCAACACAAACCCAATATACCCTCCCCCCTAAAGTGGTGTAGGGTATACTATATAGTTAGTCACCTGGGCACAAGGTGGGTAGGAGTAACTTTAAAGGGTAGGTTAAATAGGGACTGTCCGACCGAACTGCTGGGTTTCTGAAGGAGTGTATGTCAAGACATCATGAAAATTTAAAGCTTTTTTTAACTTTAAAGCACTGTTGGGGGGATCCGGTTATATGGTGTATTTCTTTTTCAAGTAGTGGACCGAACTCAACCAAAATTATTGATCTTCAAAATTGCGACAAGTAATAACTTTACCAGAACTGACAGACAGACAGATAGACGCACATGACGACTGAGAAAATGATTCTAAGTTTTTTATGCGTTACAACAATCTGCACAAATCCATAATGCCCACCCAACTAAAGTAGTTTAAACCACGGTGGTAGTATAAGAATAATCCAATATACAATGTATGAAGTATGTGAATCATGTTCCTATTTAAGAACATGCAGTGGTGAAAAAAAAAAATAATAGAAACATATTATTTAATGGAAAATTATTTTCTCAGAAACTATTTGTTAGACATTGACAGTAATTAGCTCAAATTTAGGGCAATTACCTTATACCAAATTATAACAGCTAAACTGTGAGATAATTAACTTTCCACAGTTTATTTTATTGCTACTATTTTATCCACTTCTGTATATTTAATACACATCTATTTATTTAAATAAAACTTTGTATTATTAAATATGTAAAATAAAAAGAAATTTGAAATATAATTGCAATTATAACAGGCAATTTTATAAAAAAAGTTATTCAATCATTAGAATGAAAACAAAATTGTTGGAATTATTTTTCATAATAGGTTGTATTGTTACCGGTGTAATCGGTGCTCCCGGAACTGTAAGTTTCAATTTGTTAGTTTTTAATTTAAAATTTAAATCTTTAAGTATTTCAGAATGCAATATATGGCAACGGTAATATCGTTAATATCCA